GCCCAAATGTTCACGCAAAGAAAGAAGGTGTAACTTTTATTCTCGCTGTAGTATTGTTGCTGCCACCATGTCGTGGAGACGCTGTGTGTTTCGTTGTGAAAGCGAAACTACTTTGTTTGGTCTTCCAAAAGAGGACGATATCCGCTTCGTCATGCCTGGAGCTGATCCGAGCTGGTCGCTGAGGAAATACATCAACTTTGCGCTGTGGATCACCGGATCGGCTTTCACCGTGGACGAAGCGGAGTCCGGCCCGGGGTCGTCACATGTGGTTGCCGCAAGTCCGCCGGACGCTCCTTCGTCGAATCCGCTGGCGCTCACTCAAGCCCGCCGTGTGTTTCGTTGTGGAAGCGAAACTACTTTGTTTGGTCTTCCAAAAGAGGACACGACTAGAAATCAGTGGTTAAGTTGTATTTACAACACTGTTCCAGAACAGTTCAACCCAAATATTCAGATGTGTGCAGCACATTTCATGGAGGACTGTTTACTGATCCTGGTAAAGTAGACTACAATGCCGGCTGTTCTGACTCACAGACTGTAAGTACGTTTTAATTTAAAGGATTTGCCACTGACGATTCAAACACGAGTTTTGAGCAGTGTAGAGTAGCGCTTGTTTGTCATTTATAATGGGTTTTAATGTTTTTGTCTCGTCGCTCCGGCCGTGACAAGGCATCACAATATGGTAAGGGGCGTAACATTTCCGTCACATGCTTGAGGTATTCGGCCAATCTCAACACACTGGATAGCTGGCCAATCAGAGCACACCTCGCTTTCCAGACCGATGGGCTTTGTAAAAATCGACGCGTTTCAGTAAGGCGGGGCATAGAGGAGAAATAATAATGCACAGTATGTGGAAAATAATGTTTTTTGAACTTTAAACGGCATAAACACATTTCTTTACACCAAATACACAAAATAATGTTCTTTTTAGCAACATCATATGACCCCTTTAAAAAAAAAAAAAACTTACTGACCACAAACTTTTGGACAGTAGTGTAATTTCACAGTTTAGTGGTAGTTGGAGAAGCAGCTTTTAGGAACAACACTGCAGACACAAAACACACACAAAATAGATTTTTATCCCTTATTAGGGCAAAATATGGAAGCAACACCCTATTATAATACTACTATTAAAAACGAATAACTTAATGAAAACTATATACTGAACATTGGTGTTATTATTATAATATTGCCACTGTATTATTAAAACAATAAACTTAAGCAAATGCACTACAGCATTTTTATCTAGAACATTCAGAATATGATCATCCCCCAACGCGGGCCTCTTGTGGCTTATTAACCAAAACTGTCAAATATATATATTTCCATATACAGGTGCATCTCAATAAATTAGAATGTCGTGGAAAAGTTTTTGTAAGTTTGCATTTTTGCACCACAGAGCAATGCAGTACATTATACTACCATGAGAAAAGTTTCTTTTAATGCTACACTGTTACTTATTTATTTTCTTAAACTGTCAAATATCTGACCGTGACTTACCTCATGCTGATGAGGACATCTCCATTGCGGAAAATGAACAGAAGTATGTTTTCCTGTGTCACGTCATGAAAATTAGCACTTTTTTCATTGGCGAAAAACAGATCTGGCTTCCACAGGCACTGGAACATTTTTGGATCAACGGTCAATGCATCGGACTTAAAATCAGCTGGCAACCGCAGCCGTGGGTCATTCCAGCGTTGACGCAGGAATATATTAACACGGTAATCCTGGACATGAAACATACAGTTAGTCTTGGTACAATGTACTGTAGTATAAAAAGAGACAAATATACTGTCAATCAATCAATCAAACGTAAAATATTTAACAAGATTGTGTGCATAAACGACTAATATGGAATATATGATGCAAAGAAAAGATTTGGTCGGATAGAATATATAAGTAAATAACACACACATACTAACAAATGTTTTTTTTTTTCTAACCATTGTGGTCTCCTGGATCGACCCAAAGCTGTTGATGAAGATGTTCACCTTATCCTCCACTGGGATCCCTGCAAACACATGATAGCAATATAATCATGCACATCAACCACGTGTGTAAAAGATGTGTGCCATTCTCAGATTCCCCAAAGTGCAAAATAAATAGTCGCAAATGTGAGAGTATTTCGTGCTCTGTTGGATGTGAGAACTGGGGTCCATGGCAGATGCCCATTGATCTGATAAGAGTTTGGTTCTAATTCTAATTCCATAGGGTCTTGTGATCCTCGACGGAGGAGAATTTCCAATTACTCTGTACAATACATACTCTGCCATTCTCTGACACTGTGATTAAATTATCATTCTAATGAGGTCATCCATTATGCTATTCGTGACTTTTGTGTAAAAAGTGCAAGTATTGAATTTTATAGTTGTTTTATGAACTTGCTAGAGGTCTGAGAGGCTTGATAATCAGGGTATGATATGAATATGCGTCCAAAAATATCTGATGCAATTCCAAGTGAAAAAAAAAAAATTGCCTAAATTGGTCGACTGAAAAGGAAGGGCATTTTCCAAAGACAAAATATTTTGGTAGCACTTTACAATAGGGTTCAATTCAGTAACATTAATGAATCCATAAATGTATAAATATATGGTAATTTATGTTCATTCATAATATTTCATAATGTGTGTGTAGAAATTAAGAAATTAAAATTCTCCTACTGTATAATAATAAATGCAGTAAAAATATTGTTAACTGTTAGTTCATAATACCTAATGTATTAAATCAAGTATATTTTATTGTTACCAATGGAACCTTATTGTCGGCTGTAAATGTTTAATGTTTTTGTGCATTTCTGAGTGGGCCATTTTGTTTATTCATTCACTAAAGCAGGGTTTATTTAGCAAGGAAAATATGAAAAAAAAACAAAAAACTTCTATATTCTGAAAACTCAGTACCTTTGAAGTTTGGTCGTATTCGTGAATCATAGGTCATCATCAAGCGGTTGAGTATGTTGCTGGTTGAGTTGGCTGGGACTCTGTCCAAGTCCTCTGCTGATAACTGACTGGCAATGTCAAAAGAGACACACGCACACTATACTGGCAGTACATCACTTATCAAAGTCATACAATGATGTAACTTGCCCTGGCAAAGAGTCAAAGCTCTCTCAGATTCAAGAACTATTCATTATTCAACACATCATTCCTCTGGAATATCGTCTGCTATCAGAAGATGCAGTAAAACGCACAGACACTTCTTTATGCTTAGTCATTTAGATATGGACCATTGGCCCTGTATATGGCCTAAGGCCAGTTAAGCTGTATCTGTTAGTATGTTACAGTCTAGAGAGCATTGACAAGGACACAGCTGGTCCTGGACCAGTGCTAACAGTGCTATCCAGTCTGGCAGGCTCCAAAATTTATCGGCAGTCTTTCACTCTGCTTAACAGCATTGTAATTCTTCATGACTGACATCCTTGCATCCTTGGAAACCTTAAATGATTATGGGATCAGCACACGTATGTGTGTATGCGAGTGTGTGTTACTGCCCGGGAGACTTACGAGGGACAGACTACTTGTTTGCCTTTTTTCCCCTTCTTGGGTTTGCCTCCTTCTTTGGCAGAGCTCTCTGCAGAGAACTGGGCTAACAGCATCAACAAGATCAGCCCTTTGAGAACCATGACTGCACACCTGCAACACACAAAGACACATTAGTCAGCAAAAATATGAAAACCCATTATAAACGAGGCATTCGTTGCATCCAGTGGGGACATAATTACGGATTATAATGACTTATACTGTCTTTTTACGCGTTGCTCTGCATCGCTCCGCGTAAACATAAAACCATGTCTGCATTTGTGATCGGAGAAATGACAAACAACAAGCCCTACACTACACTGCCCAAAAAACTCGCTTTAAATATAAAAACTCTTTAAATATAAAAAACGTACTTACAGTCTGTGAGTAGAACAGCCGGGATTGTAGTCTACTCTACCAGGATCAGGAAACTGTCCTCCATAAAATGCGCTGCACACATCTGAATATTTGGGTTGAAGTGTTCTGGAACAGTGTTGTAAATACAACTTAACCACTGATTTCTAGTCGTGTCCATTTTTGGAAGGCCAAACAAAGTAGTTTCGCTTTCACAA